TATAAGTTGTTTGGCAATGCAAGTTCTGGTTGTATGAGTGATAAGCGAAAATAATTTGGAAAATTACTGATTACTCTTGTTTTGAAGTACACGTATTTCTGATGTACAGAATATCTAAAGCTACGAACAGCAGAAAAAAAGTTCATCTAGCAGTTTTAATTTTGAGTTTTCCATGTATATAGTACAAAAAGTACCAAAATTAAATTGTAAAGAGTCACTTTTTCGAATGGAAACACCCTATCTTTATAATTTTATCCTATTTGTTATTTAAAATTGGGGGTTCTTTTATTTAAATTTATTCTGAAATAATTGACAATTTAACGTTTTCCTATTGTAATAATGCGGGTGTAAGTTTTGTTGTTATCGGCAGTACCGAAACGTCGCTTTATAAAGCGCCATATATATACATATCTGATTTAAATCCAGAATGTATTCAGGAAATGAAAGATTGGATCTATATAATTGTTATATTGAAAGTAATAATACTATCGCTTTAACCACAAGAGAATATCATAGAAAATATCTGCAGAGAAGAATTCCCAATAACTCATTAGCATGATGTTTTAAAGCATAAAGCAGTTATTAGACTTGAAAGATCCGCTAACACAAGCAACATTATAAATACACACATAATATGTTTAACTATTACACATGACTCCTCTCTTAATAAGCGATAAGCGTTTCCTACAGAACCGCTTCGATTTGGAAATTGAATTTCGTTCCCAGCTCTATTTTTTAGAGCCAACCAATAAGAAATTTAGCAGTCATGCATTATTACAAAGAGAAAATGTTAAATTGTCAATTATTTCTGTTACTATAAATTTCAGGAATAAGCAAACAATCTTTTACAAAGTCAGCTTAAGTTTTAATGCCAAATCGGAGAAAATTATGAAAATAAGCTGTTTTCCATGCTTCAATTTTGTTCACCCTTAATTAGTTTACATCCAAAATCCTCTCAATATATGTTACAAGGAATCCATCTAAAATTAAATAAACAATTTTTTGAAAACGGTTAGGCTTAGGTATAGAATTTCCCGGGGTATTTACACCATGTGAACGGAACACTCTGTATTCTGAATTCACAAATAAACGTTCCATAGCACCCAAAACGAAATTGTAACAAAATCCAAGTAATAGCGAAAAAGCCGTGTCGCAGTTCGACCAAGGAAAATTGGATTCTTCAAAACCCACCACCCAAATGGTTTATGAAAATAGGGAAAATATTTTTCGACCTGGTAATTGCTCGGAAAAAATACTGTCGCAAATATGGAAAAGAACACAAAGCGGGATATTGTACTGGAAATGTTTGGAAATGTTCACCACACTGCATGAGCTAAATGATTTGACCACTCTGCCAGAGATAAAAGTTTTAAAAATAATATTAAATTATAATGGTTTTTATAAAAAGAACCTCAATATTGAGTACAGGTTTTCGGTTAAAAGAGTGTGATAAAGTTGATAAAGGAGACACTCTACAGATGAATGTTCCATATGTTCATCAAAACGTGCGTAACCGAACATGGAAAACTTTGGAAGAATTGAAAACGTTAGTCATAAAAGATGAAAGTCCTGGTAAGTGCCTTTTGTCGAGAACATGGAAAACATAGTGGAAGCGCTATTTATGTGCATAAATCTGTAAGGTGTAAAGCGAGAAACAACTCGTGTAAGTTATCAATAAAAAAAGTTTGTGAGTGCGCAGTCGTAGAGCGTATATTCAAAAAAGATTGGTTAAGAGTTTCGTAAATTCATAGAGCTCAATCATGAAGTATAGATGTTTTGCTCTATTGCTTAGAAAAGGTGCTCTTAGATATTTTTAAGGAAAATATATTTTTTTAAGATAAACATGTTTAGAGAAATCGAACAAATTAAACTTAATTTCACTAACTTCTTGGCCTTTCGTCTACGGTTTTCGAAGATACAAAGAGACGTCCCGTAGTACAAGCTGTATTGAAAACTTATTGGTGAATTGCGAAAACAGAAATACTCTAATATTTCACGCTTTTATTTGTGACCAAATTGCCAGAACATTACATTAAATCTATCATTTTACTTGACAAATTCAAAGTAAACATAGTAATGGAATAGACAAGATTCTAGTATAATACAAATAAGTGGTCCATATATAAGTGCCTGTTGATTAATGACTCCCTTAAAAATCACATTTTCCCAAACCAATTTAAAACAGCTTTACTAAATCCGCTCTATAAAAGGGAAGACCCAGAAATAATTAATAATTAATAATTAAAGAATAAAAAATTAATAATTGCAGACTGATTAGCATTTTGCGCGGATTTTCTAAAATATTTTAGATGGCTATTTGCGAAAGACTCGTTGAGTTTTTTTAATAAGTATAAACTGTTCAACAATCATCAGCATGATATATAGCAAATAAATGAACAGAAACCGCTATATTTCAATTTATAGAAACAATTTTAAAACACTTGGAAGGAGGAAGAATCGCTTTAGGCACGTGTTTGGATCTATCTAAAACATATTATTGTATAAATAGGGATTTATTGCTCAAAATATACCTAAAATGTGCTAAAATTGTTGGAATGATACTTATTGGGAAGGAAACAAGTTAATGGTAATAGTTATCTTTATGTTATTAAGGAAAATAGTCTAGGCATAGCACAAGGTAGAAAAAATTTTATTTATCATTTTTGTGAATGACTTTTGTGACAAAGTCAGAAGTCAGACTGATTTCTAGTAAATCATTTTTAGTACTAAATTAGGTATAGATGAAATACCACTAGGCATAAATATAGGTAAAGAAAATATGAATATGGTGAAGAGCACTAAATTATTAGGTTTACAAATTAACAAGTTTCTTGATTGGTCTGAACATATTTATGATTTGCAAAATACATTTAATTTAATTTGTTATGGAATTAGGCTTGTTGCAAACTATATGAATACGAAAACTTTAAAAATTATCTACTTTGCAAACTTTCAGATACGCATAAGGTATGGAATTATTTTTTGGGAGGTAGTAGTCAACTACAGAAAAATTTCGTGATTCAAAAGAGGACTTTTCGTATCTTCAAAAAAATGCAATTTAGGGAAAAGATTGATATTCTTCATTAAAAATAGAAAGGACTTCGAACTGCAGATATTTCACAGATATAATGCCAGAACCCTAAATGTAGATTACCCAATTCAGCGTTTAACCTTAACTAAATGGAATCTGCCCTTGTTACATGTGCCAAAGATTGTATAATAAATTACCAAATAATGTAAAAGCAATTGCAACTCTAAAAATCTTTAAGCGCACTAAAAAAAAGTTATTAACAAATTTAGAACCATACTGTCTAGAAGCCTTTTTTCTGTAGTCTTTAATTAATATATGCAATGTAGGTAATTGAGATTTGTAATAGAATCTAGTATATTTTCCTTTTTTAACGCAGATTTCCTTTTTGTTTGGTGTATTATTTTTACATAATGCATTACAAATTAAGCTGATTATTATTGTCATTTTTGACGAGTGGAAACCTTTTATAGGCACCAGGTACTTGTTCCTCCTTTCCCTGGCAGTGTGGGAGTCACCAGAGCCTGGGCTCGGCATACTGCACTAAAATCATCCCGGCTAGATTTCTTTGCCCTCCACGCGGAACCATCATTGCTGACATTACTTCATGGAGACAATACTCTCTTTTATTTCGCTGTAGCGCCCTAGCCCACACTGCTTTTTTTACCCTGTTCTGGCTTAGTCTTTGTTCTCTCTCCTTGGTTTCTAAAATTACTTTCTTTATTGTCCTTTCTCTAAGTTCTTTATATCTTTTACAAAGGAATATTGTATGCTCAGGTGTATCTATGTCGTTACATTTCGTACAGACTTCCTCCACCTCTTTTCCAAAGCGTTTGGCGCATGTCTTAAATATTCCGTGACCTGAGATTGCTTGCTAGTTTAAATTTCTATCTTCACATTTAACCCATTTGTTTATATCCGGGATTAACCGTCTAGTCCACTGGCCTTTATGTGCGGTATTGTTCCATCTCGCCTGCCATTCCTCCATTGTTCTCTCTTTAACGTCCGAGGTCTCACCTTGCCCTCTTTCGTATATGTTTTTCCTCTCTTTTCCCATCAGGTTTATTGGTGGTATTCCTGCTATAACCTACCGTGCTACAGCCCATACCGTTTTAAATGCAGCAGTAACTCATATTAGTGCCCTAAGTTGCGTTCTTTCCATGAGTGTAGTACTTCTAGAGCATCTGCCCATGTAGGTGCTCCATACAATAGGACTGAATGCACCACCCGCCACAGTACCTTTCTTTTCCCACTAGAGGGACCGCCTATATTTGGCATAAGTCGTGCTAATTTACCAAGTCTGTCCTCAGCCTTGGCAGTAACCCTCCTCACACGTTCCCCAAAATTTCCATGCTTATCAAAAGAGACTCACAGATATATCTAGCCCTTGCATTTTAAATTTTATGCTCTCGCTTTTTCTTTTCTGTGTGTTAATCAGAGCTTCAGTTTTTTCTGGTGCTAGTTTCAGCTCGTTTCAATTCGTCCACTTATTTATCCTTTGCAGGTTTTCATTTGTATTGTATATAAGAATGTTCTTTTCATCTGCCAATACCAGTAGTGCTATATCATCTGCAAAACCAACTGTCTTTGATCTTCCCTGTAGTTTAATTTCAAAAATGTCATTGTACAAGATATTTCAAAGTACCGGTCCTAGTACCGATCCCTGCGGTACTCCGGATTTAATTTCAAATGTTTTCCGCTTTGCTAACTGTATGTGTCTGTCCTTGAGATATTCCGCAATGACATTGAAGAGATATTTGGATATTTTTCTCTTCTTTAGTTTTCGCAGTATTAAATTCCAATTAGCATAGTTAAAAGCGTTTAATATTATCATTATTATTATTATTATTATTATTATTATTAATTATTATTAATTATTATTATTATTAATCGACCACTTGAAGCTAAGAGATGTAAAGTTAATACGTATGCGTAACTTGAAGCAATATTTCCAACCGTGCTTTTGTTGTAGTTTTGACGTGAGAGGTCGCGCCTTCAACAAAGCGCTTCAATGGTCGGATCCGAACATGTTCGGTCCGCGGGCTTACTTTGTGACGGTTTCGAAGCCCGCTGCCCTCACACTGGACGGGGTTCAGCTGGACGACGAGGGCGTCTACAGGTGCCGGGTGGACTTTAGAACATCACCAACAAGAAATTTTGCCATCAATTTAACTGTTATCGGTAAGAGTACGTTTTATATCCCCATTGTTTCCATTTATTCGTCGTAGGAGTTCCCGTACTTAGGTGTTCCCGAAAAAAAAACAAGTTTTAATAGCTGATATTCCATAATATTATTATTTTTAATATTTAACACAGAAAATGGACGCAATTTTTTTATTAGTCGTTCCACTGATGGTTTAATTATTAATTAGGCAAGTGTCACAGAAAATTCGAAATTCTCCAATCTATACATTAAAAATGGGAAAAATGCAGTTGCGGCAAGAAGCGAATATATGAAAATCTAATTTGGTGGCGGCAATCGCTTCAGAGGAATAACTACTAATACTAAAATAGAGGAGAAAAATGCAAACTATTTCAAACTAGGCTGAAGAATTAGACGTCTGTTTATATTACATTGGTAAGATAGACTTTGCGCGTGCAACATAATACCAGTAAAATACTGAATAGTCTTGTACTTATTACATTATAAATACCGAGACGAGTATTATTTTTTGTTGTTTTCTGACTGACAACGAATCAGGGTGTCTCCAAAAAAGTTTATTTAAGACCAGGAGTTTTTATAGTACTGAATAATATTTTCCACCCTTGCTCGTTTTTTTCTACCAATAATTATAATATATTTTTCAGAGAACCCTACTCTACTCATGATGAAGTTCGCGATTTGCATAAATTGGGAGAATTTTAAAATCATGAAAATTCTCACGGAGGAAAATATGAGATCATTTAAAAAATAAAATTTGTTTTACTAGGCAAGAAACCAATATAATAAAAGAGGAAATGTATACTGAAATAAATGATACCAACCATTCTAAATAAATACAATAATTAAATAAATTATGTGGTTAAACACTCCTAAGTATGTTTTATAATCATATTAATAATTATTGTTATTTTTATATAGCAGATATTTAATATTAAACAGTTTAATAGTATTTCTGTCGAAATGACTTAATAAAGACGTCAAAACAAATAATGAAAAAAATGGCCACCCATGACATATTAAGTGAAATTTTCCAAACCATACTGTGTTTATATTATATATTTGAAATCAGCGTTTATAGGGCATAATATCCAAGGCATTCCATAAGAAAAAATTATGTTTCCATCTTCTTTTTTTATCCTCCGGTATACAAAAACGTAGCACAGAAGAGAACTTGAGTTGAAACCACGAATTATAGAGAGTTAAAAAATGGATAACCAAATGCACCAAAACAAAAAAAGAATTCAGAAGGCGTTATAGATAGAGTTACTAAAAGTTGATAAAAGAATAGGATTATTCTAATCCTTGTAAATTCTTTATCTTTCGGGCTCATCACTTTGCTTGGCGAAAATTCAAACATTAATAATTTTTTTATTGTTTCCCCGAAATTTTATATAGATGCACATACTTCGATCACGTTCAAGAACTATTTCTAGATGAGTTTTTTTTAACATTTAAAATAAAAAATTATATTTTCAATATTTGACTAAAATGGTAAGTAAATGTTCGTAAAATTTAACACCCGATATAAATCATTATAGAAGCTCTCTTTTCCTTCGCCGTCATATTCTATAGTGGGTATACACAAATTTGTAGGATATTAAACCTCGCTGTCAGAAAAATATATCATATTTAAAGGAGTTTTTAAAATTCCATCGGGAATGATTATTCCGACTCCATTTTTGTGTTGTGGTCTTCTCATGTGTAAACAATTGTATCGTCATCTATTAATATTTTTGCGGAGTTTTCCTAGTATACTGATCTGTAATCTCTTCACCTCTTTCAGAACGTTGTGTATCTTTCCAGATTCGTACATACTTCTTATGTTCCATGTACCTATTTTGTGCGTTCTTGATGGATCGAATATGATTCTCGCTGATCTGGAGATTCTTCGTACTCCTGTCCCATTGAAGGGGCGCCCGTAGTCTGGGCGTTGGATTTATCAGCCATAGAAAGGTGTAAATTTGGTATGGTGTAATTTCTGATTTTTTTATTGGTCCGCTATTTAAAACTCCCTTCGTTATCACCTAAACGTACTCCTTGAAGATATACTACTCGTCTTAACTGAAAATATTTTGCTTATGCATGATGGGACGCTACCACATGTTTTGCCAGGGGCGCCAATATTTACATTATCAGTTTCCTCCTTTAAGTGAATTTGTTTGGCCACCCAGGTCCAAGAAGTTTTTTTAAATGGAAAAATTCCATTTTTATAATTTTATCATATTTGGTATTTAATAAAAGAGATGTTGTACCAGATTTACTGTTTCAAAAAGTTGTAGATTTCGAAATAAAACGCAATAAAACGTTTTTCATTTATTTTTGAAAAACTCAAATGTTTCTACATTGGGTTAATTTCTAAGAATGAAACAAATGTCATCAATACCATTTTGAAATTTTAGGACCGTTAAGGTTGGGCAATTAATAGAATTTTTTATAAACAATCTCAGATCTTTTTTTAAACCATTTTCCAAGGACTTCAAAAATATCTGAATATACTGCGCGTGTGAATTCTCGTGAATAAATACAACTTTCTTATTTTTTAATTCCTGGGAAAATTCTTGGGTATTTTACAAGAATTTATACAGTTTTCAAATTTTGATGCTGAACTTGGGAGCACTAAACCAAATATACTGATTTTAAGAGTTCCCCCCACGGTATGAGCTTCATCCCATTTAGCTCAAAAAAACACCTCCAAAGGTTTGCTCGTAAACCGCAACATCTAAGAACAAATGTCGTAGTACATTTTATGTTTTCTATTAAAATGGTTATATGCGTCTCTATATTGCGACCTTGGAAAATAAACACAGTTTTGAGCGGAAAAAAAAATTAACCCAGCGCAGTTTTTTGCGGCGAGAATTAAAGAGCAATTGTTTCTCAACGAGGTCGATAGAAAATAAAATATTCTTTAGCAAGTGGTCAAATGGTAATTTTTTTCCTACTCTCGTCTGTAAAATGCCTTATTACACATCGATCTAGCGTACGGGAACCATCACTTTACCACGTCAGTTTCGTTTCCCACGGATCCGGGATTCGCCGCACGAAATCGGATGTTTTCGGAGATATTTTCCACGCCTTGAATTTTGACGTTTGTCAATTCTAACGGTCATGTCAGTGAATGTATTCGTCCTGTTTTGTGAAAATGTACCCAAAAGCTAACCGTCATAGAAGAAGTATAGTATGCAACATGTTCGATAAACTTTTTAACTCACTCGCTTATTAAACATAAACTCGTGCGTCGAATGCCGTTTACCGCATTTGTTGCATAATATACTATTAAACCTATGAATTTGTACTTTGAGTTCCAAGGCCCTTGAAGTCCCTTGAAGCGTATTCGAGTTCTCGGACCATTTTTTATTAAAGTAGTTTCCCCTGTAGACGGATGACTATCCTCCCAATAAAATGTAACTATTTAATAATCTACCTCTACAAACACACACATTCATGGCATTTAATTGACTCCCCCAAATGGAGCACATTGTGCATCGCTTTCCACATCCCTTTTTACAGCTTATGAAAGAATGGAAAACTGAAGTTTGAAAAGGATGCTTAAGTCCTAACCACTGGTATTTGAATTTTGTTCTTCACGAACGAACCTGGTGAAAAACGCTATATGAATGTTGTGTTAATGCAGCAGATGACAAAATAACGGCGTTACTTGAATGACCAGCGAAAGAGCTTCAAATAAAACTGAATGGAGAAAAATCGAAACTAGAACATATTCTATAACGATATACAAAATTTCAAATTTTTCGTGAAATTTTAAAGACCTTAAATAAATTAAAGAACTTGGGCCGCCTAAAAATTAAAAAGTGGAAAATAAGTATCACGTAATTCCTATTTACCCCAAAACTTCGCGAAATGCTCCAAAATGCCATCAGATGTTTTTTAATTAGATAAAACCCGCGCACCCTGTTGTAAAAACCATTTTGACTTTTTCATACCAAATTCTGATAAATCTAGTAAATTTAAGCTGGTAAGAGCACTTTACTAATCATATTTTTATCTGCGGTAATAAATATAAAAATTATATATTAATGTGGAGGATTCCCAAGTACCTTTTTGGTTAAAAAATTATGTCTGCCTTGGTCGACTTCGATTTCGACTAGTTAGCCGATTTATTAATCAATTTGATAAGAGTATTTCATTTCAAATTTCTGTAACTAAATTATTGACTTCATTTTAGGAAAAACAAGATATAGAAAATTATATAACTACAACCTCGATTTTTGGATTGTCTACAACTGCTGAGAGTTTTTTACAAAAAGGCGGTTCCTTAACGGAAGGCGAATAAAAATAAACCATCCATTTCATGGTTGCGTTTTCTCCACGTTGATTTTTTATTAAATTAATTTTATTGATAATCGTGTGAAACAATGTACCTATAGTGGGTACCTTCAATTTATTATACAGTGACGAGCAAAAAATTTAGGTCACTCAAGCAATTACAATTTTTTTGTAAAAAAAAGTTTATCACCGAATCGTCAATCTAGTAGGTCGTAAATTATCTATCCTACTGTATATGATTAACTGAAATTAACATTTAATCGGAAAATGTTATGTTGCTTTTCATGATTTTGTCGGGACATAAAAAACGTCAGAGCCCAGTTAATTTTTATTTGTAACTAAAGAGGCGAGTAACAAGAAACAATGTTGAGAAAACCTGAAAATTAATAACGTATTCCCTGCTCTTGCACTTATGACTGCTTATAATCGACGAGGCATGCTTTGAATAAATTACAGATTACGTTCTGGTCGATGTTGTTCCATTCCTCCGTTAACATCTCTCCCAGCTTTAGGACATTTCTTGAAGCTCGTATATGTCTTCGAATACGTCGTCCCATCTCATCCCACACATGTTCGACGGGATTCATGTATCGACTGAGTGCTGAGCAACCAAACCGCCTAATACCCGCCTCGTCCAGATATTGACTGACAATTCTGGCGGTATGATGCTCTTCAAGGATTTCCGTAATGTGCCTGTGAGCTGCCAGAGAGCCATTCTGTAAAAAGACCAACT